ATGCGAAGAAAACCATCAGGTGGCGCCGCTGCGGCGACGCCGCCGCCGCCACCGTCAGAGTTCCGTTCCAAATTCTGACAACCACCCTCCTCAGTCTCCTCCTCCCCCTCTCATTCCTCCTCCTCGCCCGCCTCTCCACCGCCCAATACTTCCTCTCCGCCACCGACAACTACCCCCAGGAGGCGGAGGCGGACGCGGCGGCGGCGGCGGCGGCGGAGCCCACCTCCACCTCCTTCTTGCGCTCGCTCTTTCTATACTCCAAAAAACCCACAGTCCTCCACTTCCTAGTCTCTCTCATCACCGTATCGTCTCTAACGTACGCCCTAACCGGAAAATTCATATTCCGGCCGAGCCACCATTCCATCTCCGGCGCCGATCAGCCGCCCTCAGAACGACGCCGTTTATACGGTGCATGGCTTCTGCTTTTCGTTTTTCAAGTCTGCGTCGGATTAGGCATCGAAGGGAGCATCGCCGCCGGAATAGACGGCTCCGGGTTCGGGCAGGAGAGCAGCTTTCTGTTGAGAATTGCTTTCTTCTTCGGCCTCCACGAAACGATTCTTTTCTGGAGGTGGACGGTGGTGAAGCCGGTGGTGGACGACACCATGTTCGGCTGCTGGAGGAAGGAAGGTTGGGTTGAGAAGGCGGCGGTGGGGCTGAGCTACGGCGGGCTGTGGTGGTGGCGGCTGAGGGAGGAGGTGGAGGCGCTGGTTGTGGTGCCGGCGCTGATGGCGGAGGTTGGGGTGGCGGACTTCATGGGGTGGTGGCTGTATTATCTGACGGTGGCTATTGGGTTAGTCAGGGTGGTCAGAGGTTTTGTATTTGCGGTTGGGATTTTGACACGTAGGAGAGAGGAAATTGATCTCCGCCGCCCGAATGATGACAAGGTCTGAGTCTGAGTTAACTCGACCTGTTCAATTTTTTATTTTACTTTTATTTTTATTTTTTTTATAAAAAATCTTGTTTTAATTTATTTATTTAATTATGAGATTCTGAAGAAATTTCAGACTTGTAAGGAACTTTGGAAAATAGAAGAAGTTGGTTAATTAATTAGTACTCTTGTGCTTGTTTACTTATGATTAATGCCATCACCACATTAATTTTATTAAAAAATAAAAATAAATTGGATCAGTTATATTCTATGAAGTACGGAAACTTCAACTTTTTTTAATGTATCTGCGTTTTGAATTTATTTTGTGTCCGACACTCGAGACACCTACCGGACACCTTATGGGATATTTTGCAGTTTTAAAAAAGTTAGAAACGTGTGAGACTAGCGAATTTTCAAATATGTTCTTCTCCAATTACTATTTAGAGGATTTAATAATCAATTGCAAATCGATACTCCCACCGGTCTGTTTTAATCGTCGTTTTTTAGCTTTGTACAAAAATTAAGAATTTCAATAAATGTGTCTTGATTTATAAAAATGTATGCTTTTAGATTAAAATGACCTTGTCTTATAAATAATAAGAGAGATAAATAATTTATAAAAAAAAAGGAGTGTCGAAAAGAGCAAATTGAAAATTAAGTAATTAATGAAGTGTTGGAAATTTAAAGTGACTGATTAATATGGAAGAAAAAATTTCTCAAAAGTGACATATATTATGGAACCGATAGAGTAGTTGATAATAATAATATTATTAATCTTAGGGCAACTCCAGTGGGTGTCGCGATCCGCTAGTTTTGGCCCAATCCTTTGCGAGTTTTCTTTGGGTTGAGAAGAACACCAAAGCTTAGCCCAAATATAATAGGCCCCAAGTTGGCGCAAGTGTATATAGGCATTGGTAGAAATTCTTGGAGGATTCTAGAAAGGGGCGTGCTAAATCCCACACATAAATTAAAAAAAAAAAATCTCTTTTTACTCGTATTCTCTCTAAAATGATTTTATCCAAGTAACATTATTTTTTTACGTGAATAATCATAAAAATGAGTTTCGTTTTATTTAATATTTATTCAATTTCATTAATTCTTTTTAATTATTCAAAATCATATCAATTCGAATTTTTTCCTCAAATTCCAACTTTATTTTAGTTTGAACATGTGAAGATTTTTGTTAAATTCGAACTTGGAATGTTAGGGACGTTTTTACTGTGTGGTTTTGTGAAAAAAATTTAGGGAAAAAGAAGAAGGGTGAGGAAGGAGAAGAGAAGATTTTAGAGAGAAAAATAATTTTAGTTATGTGCATGATTTGGTAAAATTAGTGTGGGATTTAGCATTTCAGTTCTAGAAAACTTTCTAAAACCCTCCATTTTGTTGATATTTTGGAGTGTTCTAGTGAACAACTCCTAACCGTTAAATCAAATAGATCTCCATCGTCCATTAAGGAGGTGACCTAGTATAAATAGTGTAGAGACTTCATTTGTAATCATCCAACAAAAATCCAACAAATTCAAGACATTCAAGCAATACTATCTTCTTAAGTTCTTCCTTCCGCACGGTTCATTGTTAAGGGAACAAGTCCGTGACATGGGCCCTAAACAAGGCCCCAAATGGACCAATCGTTAATTTGATGGCTGAACACAGACAAATCAGATTCCATCACTGCCATTAACTAAGGCACTATTTTAGGATCTCCTTCAGTTGGACGAAGTGGGGAATCAAAATTTGGAGGGAGAAAAAAGAAACAGAAAGCAAGGGCAAGAGAGTGCATAAAAGAAGAAATGGACCAATCGTCAATTTGATGGTTGAACCTGCAAATCAGATTCCATCACTGCCATTAACTAAGGCACTATTTTATGATCTCCTTCAGTTGGACGAAATAGAGAATCAAATTTTGGAGGGATAAAAAAGAAACAGAAGAAAAATGAGGAGGTGGGTTGTTTTGTGTGTGTAAGGTGGGTGGAAGTAAAGTTGCTTTTGAGATATCTTATTAATAAAAGTAAGGCTACTCTTGATAAATCCTAGCTTAACTTTCCCCCTCATTTTAGGGCTAAGATAGTAATATTGTTTTTTTATAGAGATTATTTTGTAGACCCCCTCATTTCCAAATTATATAGCACTAACTACCAAGTGGATTACACTCTAGGTAAAACCCCCCTCATTTCGAAAATATTTTGACATACCCCCCTGGGCTACCCTGAAGTTCCTATAATACCCTTCTAAAATCAGTTTTAACCCTAGCCACTCACGGTCTCTCTCTTCTTCTCTCAGATTCAAAATCCCGCCTCTACAAACCTCTCACCGGCGAAATTGCTTCCCGGAGCCATAACTCTCTCTCCGGTGGTCGGAATTCGATGGTTTAACTACCGTTGGATTCCTCTCGTCGAGCTCTTTCTTTTGGTGGTGATTTTTTCATTCGAGGACGGTGGTCTTGCCGGAGCTTTATTTTGTGTTCCACCCGTCGAAATTTGACGGGTCATCCCCTGTTGGATTCCTCTCGTCGGGATCTATATTTTGATGGTAATTTCGTTAATTTTTATCTTTTCAGATTTATTTCTATATTTTTTGCATTTCCCTGCAATAACCTCTCTCTCTATCTCTCGATCTCTTAATGTTTGGTGATTTTTGAGTGTTTTGATGTTTTTATTCAAATTTGTTGATTTGCACTAAAGTAATTTCTTTTTGTTTTGATTTTGCAATTGCATCTTAATGAAGGCCATTGATCTTTTCCTTGAAGGTGTCAAATTTTTGTTTTTTTAAGTTACAACAGATCTGTTCAACAGACTGTCTACATTACTATACATTACTATAGTAACATGTAGTTACATGTAGTTACATATGCGTATATTTATGTATTTTCGCTCTTGTATTTATTGGTTCTGATGTGATTTCTCCCCCCCACCTCGAAATTTGTAAATTTTTGTGGGGATTTTATGAATTTATTTTGCATAAGTCAGTATTCGTGTGTGTATACGTACAATTGATCGACTAAAATATGGGGAAAAACCAACATAACTATGAATTACTATAGGTACTATAGTTACAAGTCGTTATTATCAGTACTGTTTACATATTGATA